ATGAGCTTACGGACGGTTCAGAGGTGTGAAAAATCAGCTTCTCTGTCTCCAGAAAATAGGAGAGGCTGTCTTCTTTTTAACCTTTGTAATTCCCCTTCTATTCTCTGTGACATTCATTCAGCTGCCAAGAGCGTTTGGCAAGGTTTGGGCCAGCGAGCACACTTCCAGTGACCGCTAACCTTGGTATGTCCTGACACTTATGATGAGTATCTGCAGGACACAGAAGGCAGGCAGCCTGCTATGTCAGGCTTTTATTATGTACTGCAGAGGCTAGGGACAGTCAGTTTAATAAAACAAATCATCCTTGAAGGTAAAGCAACTGGGAAGAGGAGGAAGACGGGAGAAAAATGTGTCTTTGCCACTCATTCCGATGGAAAAATAAAAGAACAGCAAAATAACCAACCACCCAACACACCGTGTGTGTGTGTGTGTGTGTGTGTGCACGTGTGCGCACACACAAACAACCCAGCTGTGGACTGGGCAGACTTGAAAACCTCCTCTCATTTTCCGCATTACATGGAAGTCCACAGGGCTCTTGTTTGCTCTAAGGAGACTCAAGTACATACCGTGATGAAATTGGTAGAAGCTGATAGCCAGCCCCCTTCAAATTTATGCATATCTTTAAGTACCTCATTACTTTATATTGTTCTCCAAATATCAAGGCAAGACCATCCGGGGTGAGGTTCCTAGGTTGGGATGCCTTTTTATCAAAACAAAGTTTCCACTCTCCTCTCCTGAGGAACGCTGGGCAAAGCAGCTCCCACAATAGCCTCAGAGTTCCAGCCAAAGACTTTGGAAGCCTTTTGTTTTTTCCCTGTGGCATGTCCAAAGGCAGGGCCTTCTCCCCTCCTCCACCAGCAGCTCCCCCCCAGCCGCCTGCATTGTCTTGCATTCCAGTGACTTGATTGACTGTTACCACCTGATGCTGAGGAGATACTCTAGGGTTCATTCTGCAGATTGTTGGGTTCTATTAAAAGAAACCTAGATAAGGGATTACTTGTCACTAAGGGATTTTCTGCAGATGTTTATTGGTGATTGGAAAGCCATTAGGTGTGAAGAGGTGCAGGAAAATATGGGCAACATCATTCTGATAAGACTGATTTCTAAGATGCTCCCACAAAACATCAGAAAGTACCCCCTATTATTCTGTTAAACGGAGCTGGGAGTTTTCAAGCAGAGGTAAAGGTCTCTTTTTCCATGGGAAATGTTTCTATGTGTGGATGAAATTCACTGGCACCCTCTCAGAAGATCAGTTGCTACCCAAAAGTGTGCCTCTGGGAGCCACCAAAGACATGAGTTGCTCCAGTCGTTCAGTATCTCATGACAACTTTCTTTTATCCAGCCCAGTCTATTGCATGAGTATTGCCTCAAAGTAAGCACTGCATTAACTAATCATTTTGTTTGTTCACAAAGAATTCATTTCTTCCCAATAACCAAAGTCTCCTCCAGGGCATCTTTTATAGCATTCCCATTTATTTTGAAGTTACTAGCTTCTCTGTGATTTTTCAAGATTACAGAGGCACAGCTTTTCAAGGTTTTGTTGCCTCATATAAATAGTAGAAATTGCTGAAAAAGCATTAAAAGGGAGCCAGCATCGTTTAATGGAAAGACACCTTACCTCACAGTAATCTCTTCATCTCATCATTTCTTCATCTCATAGAATCTCATGCTTTCTTCATCTATAAAGTGTTGATTTCTGAGATCTATTCCAACTCTTTGAATTCTATCTTACTTTACCATTATTTTAAACTTCCTTTTTTTTTTTTATTTTTGAGATGGGGATCTCACTGTCACCCAGGCTGTAGTGCAATGGTGCGACCTCAGCTCACTGCAACCTCTGCCTCCTGGGCTCAAGCCATCCTCTCACCTCTACCTCCCAGTAGCTGGGACCACAGGCGCGTGCCACCACACCCAGCTAATTTTTTGTATTTTTGGTAGAGATGGAGTTTCATCATGTTGCTCAGGCTGAAGCTTCCCTTTTTTAAGTCTTAAGTATTTTTAAAGTATTAAGTAACTGCTACTCTAGAGCAAAATGGAGTAAAGCAGAAGGAAGGCAAGATCTCACTATGAGCTATTTATCAAATGACTTTGCAAAAGATACTCTGCTGAGGCTCCTTATCTAAAGACACCTTATGATAAGGTGTACATATAAGAGTAGGTAAAAAGTTAAACAGCATCAAGACACAAATGCAAAAGATGATAAAGGAGAGCCTATGATTACCACCACAAGAAAGGAATATTTAAAACAGGTTAAAATCCACTAAAACCCATTAACAAGCATGGCAAACTATAAAAATGATGAAGGGGAGACTGCATACAACCCCCAAAGAAGTTGCCTTGTTCTCATGCAAATCCTACAACTTCACTTCCCTCCCTCCCCTGGTGCTGATGTTCTAGATGTACCTCTTCTCTCTCCTCTGACAGTCTTGAACAATGCCTGCCCTTCCCCTGTCCTTGGCTCCCCAGACCTCCTGTACAGTTCTTGGCGTGGGCAGGGCTTTCGGCCTTCTCTGGCTTCTCTGGGGCAGCTGCCCACACCTTCACCCCTCAAAGCTCTCTGCCATGTCATGCTGTATCCCTGAGTGTTCAAGGAACGTAGATTTTTCATTGAGGCTGTATTGCCGATGGCCCATGAAATCACCTTTCTTGAAACGTTTATTTTAATAAATGCCTATGATTGGCCAGGCACGGTGGCTCATGTCTGTAATCCCAGCACTTTGGGAGGCCAACATGGGCAGATCACCTGAGGTTGGGAGTTTGAGACCAGCCTGGCCAACATGTTGAAATCCCATCTCTACTGAAAATACAGAAGTTAGCTAGGCATAGTGGCCTGTGCCTGTAATCTCAGCTACTCAGGAGGCTGAGCTAGGAGAGTCTCGTGAACCCAGGAGGCGGAAGTTGCGGTGAGCCAAGATCATGCCACTGCACTCCAGCCTGGGTGACAGAGGAAACACCATCTCAAATAAATAAATAAATAAATAAATGCCTCTGATTATGTTTCTGTAGCATTTGGCTAACAGTCCCAATCCAAGGAGTGAGAGTGGGCTTCACTGTTCTCCAGCCACATTCCCTCCCTCAATAATGCTCATTTGATAAAATGTGGAGGATTATCTTTGGGGGTGGAGGTGACTGTACTAAAAAAGATTGCTTCATGAATTTTTATTTGTATAACGCGAGTGGGAGGGCTAAGCTCTCCTCTAACAAATACTCCTGTATGCAGGAAATTTGGGAGGAAATAACCCAAAGGCCTGTGGAAAATCCACATGAATTCTCAGCAGAGAATGGCCCTTGGGGTGTGTGGGTTTGCACATTCATGGTGGACAAGGCGGTACTTTGAAGGATTTTCCAGGCAACACTGGGAACTATGTCCTAAGAAATGGGCCAGTGTGAAAGTCTTTAGGAGGGTCTGCTAAAAATGTAAGCTTAAGAATGGTTGGCCCCAAATGGAGTCCCTTTCATTTTTTCTGCAGAGTTATTACATTTCTTTATAAACAACAATTAACTTGCCATTGGGAACAATGAACTTCTTTGTCCAATTTTAAACATGAAAAACAGGGATGTCGGGTGATGATTCTGGTTTTCTTTACCAGTTACTACTATTATTAAAAAGTACATTGCACCCAAGGTTGGAAGAAAGAGATGAAACATGTTCAATATTACAATACCTCCTTTTTACTTTGGTAAGTGGCATGTCTGAACTTAGATGAAAAGTCTTTCATCTCTTGTATATGTGTAGATAAATATTGCTATATGTATACCTGTGGTACCTTTATGTCCTCATATGTCTGCACTTAATGTAAAAATGAAACTTTACTGGTGTATAAGTACCCCACTAAAATAAATCTACTAAGTGTCAATGCGTACTTGGAAAATTATGAGTTCATGGATTATTCTGTGATTCTATTGTGTTGGTGTGGGGATAGATAGACCATACTTTACTCTGAGTAACTTACAAAGAACACTAAATAAGTACATCAGTAGTTACTGCTTTCCTTAATCAAGATATCAGATTATTAAATAAGTAATTAAGAGAATACACACACATACACACACACAACACACATACATATTAATTGCTGTGGAAGAAAAGCCTTAAGAAATTGAGGTTCCAAAATGAATAGTTGGAGAATGTTTATTTTGAATGATAAGGACCTTGAGCAATTTCCTTACCCTCTCCGAGCCTCAGTTTTCTATTGTGTACTTGGAATAATAACACCTCTTAGAGAAATTGGGAGAACCGAATGACATAATTCACATTCAGTACATAAAACAGAGTCTGGCAAGTAGTAAATACTCAAAAAAATGTTAGTTTGTATTATTACTATCAGCTGAATAAATCACTCTCTTATGGAGCAATTCTAATTTCAAGGTTAAGTATTTTCTGATGCAATATTTTAGGATCAGTTTTGTGACTTCATGTTAATGTCATTATTTTACTCCTTTATGTAGGGAGTACTTTATATTGCAGATTAATATACAACTTAGCATCTGAGTCAACAATCCTCTGAGACAGATAACTGAGATTTTAGAAGATTTTCTTCATTTAAAGCATGGGTTTAATTTATAAAGAAGCCTAACTATTTGTTATTCTATTTTGAGAACATATTTTGTTTTCATAATGGCAATCCAAAGGAAATAGGATTCAAATTCTGAAAAATTAATTGGAGACTTTCTTCTGGATAGCATCTATTTAATGAAGTGAGGAATCCCAAAAGTCACATCCCATATTCCTATCCTAATTATCCACAATGAAATCCTAGTTTTTCAATAGGTCTGCATGGATCTTTCACACACTCTTCTTAAAACAAAGCTGTCAACCCCACATCGCAATGCTACTATATGTAATGACTTTACATAAAAGAATAGAAGCCAGCCATTTTTAGAAAATGCAGGTGCAATGTAAGCCCCTTTCTGCAAGAATGAACTTAGCTCGGTTTCCTTGGAATAACTGTAGACTTGAAACTGAAAACTTTATTAATGCCATTGTCTCCTTGTATCAGCAGGTTCCAGAGAGATTCCTGGAAGTTGCTCAGATCACATTACGGGAGTTTTTCAATGCCATTATCGCAGGCAAAGATGTTGATCCTTCCTGGAAGAAGGCCATATACAAGGTCATCTGCAAGCTGGATAGTGAAGTCCCTGAGATTTTCAAATCTCCGAACTGCCTACAAGAGCTGCTTCATGAGTAGAAATTTCGACAACTCTATTTGAATGTATGAAGAGTAGCAGTCCCCTTTGGATGTCCAAGTTATATGTGTCTAGATTTTGATTTCATATATATGTGTATGGGAGGCATGGATCTGTTATGAAATCAGCTGGTAATTCCTCCTCATCACCTTTCTCTCATTTTCTTTTGTTTTCCATTGCAAGGGGATGGTTGTTTCCTTTCTGCCTTTAGTTTACTTTTGCCCAAGGCCCTTAACATTTGGACACTTAAAATAGGGTTAATTTTCAGGGAAGAAGAATGTTGGCGTGTGTAAAGTCTCTATTAGCAATGAAGGGAATTTGTTAACGATGCATCCACTTGATTGATGACTTATTGCAAATGGCGGTTGGCCGAGGAAAACCCATGACACAGCACAACTCTACAGACAGTGATGTGTCTCTTGTTTTTACTGCTAAGAAGGTCTGAAAATTTAATGAAACCACTTCATACATTTAAGTATTTTGTTTGGTTTGAACTCAATCAGTAGCTTTTCCTTACATGTTTAAAAATAATGCCAGTGACAGATGAGCAGCTCACTTTTCCAAAGTACCCCAAAAGGCCAAATTAAAAAAGAAACATATTCACTAGCAAGCCTTTTCTAAGAAAAGAGGCAAACTCTGAAAATAGTACCAGTTTCTTCTGGAGGCAAAGCAATTTTGCACAAAACCAGCTCTCTCAAGATGAGACTGGAAATTCATACCTGGTCTTCTAGTCACCTCTCTAAACTCGACAATAGGTTCTTCTTCATAAGTGAGCTTACATCATTCTTCATAAAGAAAAATCCTATAACTTGTTATCATTTTGCTTCAGATACTAAAAGGCACTAAGTTTCAAATTTACACTGCTCAACTTTGTTTATATGCTTAAAAGGATTCTGTTTACTTAACACTTTTTTCCCCTAAAATGCTATTTTCTGAATACTTTCTTCCAGTAAGGAATAAAGGAAAGCCCAACTTGGCCATAAAATTCTTGCCTACACTAGAAGTTTGTTGACAGCTGTTAGCTGACTTGATCTTCATCTCCTAAGAGGAACACATACATTTTCACATGCAGTGCCACACTCTCCTGATGGGTATTCAAAGTGGTGACAGTCTAACTCAGTGTTTCTTTATTTTAGGTATAACATTTTAAAGCAATTGATAATGCCTCTTCCAATTCAGAAGCTAGAATTGACCAAAATGTGAGAAGAGTGTATAGCATAGGAAAATTTGGGGTTAACCCAAAAGACACAATTCCAGCACACGTAAGAAAGCTAGCTGCTATTTTATGCTTTCTTCAATGGTTCTCCTCTTTTTCCTTTTTTTTTTCCTTTTTTTTTTCCCTGTTTTTCAATGATGTACAGTGTTCCATACTTGCATTGAAAAAAATTGTATGGCATTCACACTTTTTTTCTTAGGTGTGTTTTTGTGTGCAGATGCAGTAAGAATTCATTGTTCATCCTAAAACTGTTTTCCAGACCCCTCCTTCCCCTTAGGTAATTTGATATACACCTCCTAAAATGACACAGTAACGAATCTGGTATTTAGAACATATAGAACATAAATGCCATTTTTTAATTCAATTTTAATAAGAATTACATTTGACTTTGGAGAATACAGGTTTTGACCCATGTGACTGACTAGCTGACCCGATCGCTGTAATTTAACGTCATTTATAAATCTGCTGATGGACAGGAATGTATGAACTCAATTATTGTCAGCACAAAGCCTTAAAACCTGCTGACTTTAAATTAAACGGTGCAGTCCTATGATGCCCTGCACCATCCAGGGGACTAACAGGGCCTGGCAGTGTGGACAGAGGGTGCAGCCGCATGGGCTGGGGCACCAGCCACTTCACTCTGCACCCGCGGCCTCACACATCTCCCAGCTCACACTCTACTAATGCACAGAGTCATTAGATCCAATTTGTTATTTTTCTCACTTGCTTTAAAACAAAAACAAGTTTGGATAATCATGACATTGGAATAAAGTGGGAAGAAAAAATTCAATCAGCACAAAGTAGGGAAGTGATCCCAACTTGTAGTCACACTTTTCTGACTGGCTTTGTTTAAAAGAGTGTGGCCTTCCTTGTTCATGTCAGTACACCACTGGGTTTTTGCTGTTCCATGTAATTCATATCAACATTGTGTTGCCATTTGCAAGGTAAAAGGCAAAGCTGTAGTGTATTCACCTATGTAGACAGATTGCTAGGTATCTTTTTGATCTGGGGCGAGTTCAATATTGATTCCAGACTTATTTGGATTTTTTTAGTATTATTTTCCCCTCCCTTCTAATTTAAATAGACAAATTAAGCAAAAGTGTGTGTTCGCAACCAAATGTTGATGCCCTTATCTACTGATAATATCCTCTCAATGTTCACTGAGGCATAGAAATTATTTCAGAGTAGAAATTGCAGCATGAGGATAAACTCACCTCTTTGTTCTGAAAATAGAAATTTATCACTATGCTTTCTGGTGGTTTTCCCTCTCAAAATAAAAATCGTGTGCCTCCCAAGTGCACTGGAAAATGACAAAAGCCTGTCTCTCCAAATTCCTATTTAACAGTTTGATTTTTTTTTTTTAATCACCATCTTTGAAATCTTAGCTCAACTCTCACCAAGAGAAAATTGGCTACTTGGGAGAAAGTTAACTTTCTATGGTGGGAGGGTGAAGGATGAGGGACAGTTTACATAGGAAAAGAAAAAAAAAGTCTAAAGTCCGTGTTGAAAAACCACACTACCACTTATTTTCTGCTAACCCTAAATTATTTTTGCGTATACGCTTGAGGTTATAGTCTGTGCCTAGACCTAAAATGCACCAGCGGGGGGGATTTTAAAAAATCCTTCAAAATACCAGTTTTTTCCCAACAAGTACAATTGTTCTTGTGCCTTCTGTGGCTTTCGATTTCATCTTTTTGACTTTATTTCCAATTACTACAGCTGCAATAAACACTAGATTTTTTTTCTGGCTGTTTGACATAACGTTGATAGCTATGCATATTTTGTGTCTTTTTAAAACAAAGCGGGAGAATACGTTTTTGAAGAAGAGAATTTTTAGAACAGTTTGATACCGCAAATTATTTTTTCCTCAATTGTTTGAGCAGCATTCGAGTTTTGAAAATTCTTGTAGAAGCCAATTTTTTGTAACTGTGGTGCAAATCTTGTGTTTTCTTAGCCTAATGAAAAGTAGTATAGAAGCAATATTTCATACCATGTGCTATATATGTGTGTGCAGATGTGTGAACATAAAAGCACATACACACATATACACACATGTAAAAATATACATATATATATATGCGTGTGAAGTGGAAAGCTTACCTTTTCCTATCTAGATTTAAGAACCTATTTTAGACATTTGTTATGTTTTGTGAAAAGAATGTTCTATTTGCAACAAAACATTTAATTCTTACTGTATCTCTGGCTGTTTAATGAGGACGTTTCACATTAACTGGTAAAACACGTGGAAGATGTTAGAATGTAGTAATTATTTAAGTAAACGTTCACCCACATATTCCTGAAGTTTGCTTTGTGCCTCCGAGTATTATTTAATTAAAGTGTTTTATGTTTGCAGAATCTCTGTTACTGTACTAGGGATGTGGGTGAATATCATTTAAAAAAAATTTAAAACAAAAAAAAAGCAAAACAAAAACACTAAAGCAAGAGGGGAACTTTTATAAAGCAATGTAAATATTTAACCTCATGGCTGTCATTATGTAAGACATGAGATTTTAATAAATAACTACATTCTCACGACATCTGTCGAATTTACTAGGAACACTACAGTGACTGTACAGACAGTTGAAAGCATTCTTGAAAATCCTGCTCTCTCCTTTTAAAAGTTAACAATCTCTTTTATCAGATGTCAAGGGCAAGGGTAATGCAGTTTCTGTAAATTTATGAAATTTCTTTTTCTATGTACATGAAGACATTTAGTAACACCCCCCTTCCCGTGCGCGCACATGGGCATGCAGGCACGCGCGCACGCACACACACACACACACACACACACATTGTCATAAAGCTAATGATTTGGGGGCTTTAAAAAATAGGATGTCCTCCAGGAACAATCATAAATTTATGAAAGAAAGAGTAGTTTACAGACTCCCCTGAAAGAAGCAGTGTATATGTGAAGACAGTGCAAAAATCTCTTTGCCATGTATATTATAGCGTATTCATTGGTGTGAATAGTACAAATGTTTCCTTCTGGTACAAACTCTGTGTTTGCAAATTACAAGAAGCATTGTTTTCAAAAAGCTCCCCTTAAAAAATGTAACTGATTTATATGAGTAAGCAGTTACCGTATTGCACTTAAATGTTATGTTGAAGGAAATGCAGTTTTGTTTTCTGTAGATCTGTTGGTTGTAAACCATCTATAAAACTAAAGCTAAAATGCTCATATTCAGAGCTGGGATCAAAACTGGTATTTAACCTTTGCATCTTCTTATAATTATCCTTCTAAGAATATAACACAATGTGGAAGTGTCTGGACTTTGAGTCTTTTCACTGAGCCCTCTCTCAAATCTGACACCCCCTCAAAATGCACAAACATAAGCAGAAAAGGCAAACAAGCTTAACTTCTTTTATGAAAATGTATTCATTCTGTATTTTTTTAATATTCAATTCCCCTAAAAAGGGGGAGAAAGCATTTTAAAATTGTATATTACCACTTCAAATTTAGAACTAAGAAAAAAATGTATTTGGGATTGGTCTCAGTGCTACCTAGAAGAATCAAAGATCGTGGCTTCCCTCAATATTGTCCCAGCCATTTCTCATATGTATATAGTATAAACCGTGACAAAACACTGCCTTTATATTATTTAGCAATATGTTGTAAATAGCATTATTAAGCTCTTTTTTGTAATAAAGACCCTTTGATTTGAATATAGTACAATAACTGAACTGATAAAGTCAATTTTTGATTTTTGTTTGTTTTTTTTTAGCTAGAGGCAATTTCAATTGTGAATTTTTGTTGTTGTCTATTGTTCTGAAGACTTTGCATAATTTATTGGTTTAATTTATCCTAATTTATTTGATGAAGGTGTACAATTTTGTATTACCAAGGATGTACTGTAATATTAATTGATATGATAAACACAATGAGACTCCCTGTCCATATTAAAAAGAAAATAAAAAGGTGCAGTAGACAATTGATTTTAAAGGAAAAGTTAAAAAATTAGTTTGGCAGCTACTAAATTTTAAAACAGGAAAAAAAAAAGTTGTTGTGGGGAGGGTGGGAAAGGGGTTTTACTTTGTGTGTTTTAAGCTTTTGTATACTCTCCAAACTTTTACCTTTTGCTTTGTACCACTTAAAGGATACAGTAGTCCAATTGCCTTGTGTGCCTTCCATCTCCTCTTAAACTGAATGTATGTGCAGTATATATGCAAGCTTGTGCAAAATAAAATATACATTACAAGCTCAGTGCCGTTTGATTTTCTTAAAGAATGAGTGACTTTTAATTTTTGGACCTGTATCCAATTGTAGAACAGTAGGCGTATGGAGATTTTCTTTCTCTACAATTCTTAATTCTGTTAGCCTAAAGTGCAACTCCTAGAAACAACATTTTTTACTTTAGATGCTTGGAATAATTGCTTGACTTTCTCTCTCGGAAACATCTTCTTTCAGGCTTAACTTCATTTAGCCCTCAAACTTAAAAAAAAAAAAAAAAAAGCTTCAGCTCAAAGTAATATTTTACTCTTAATTCAACAATTGTTAATGTTGAATGATTCTAAGAACAACAAAAGATGTTCCCAAAAGTCACAGAATGGCAAATACATTACTTAAAATATGGGGATTCAGGGCTTGCACTGTTCTTACTGTGGATGAACTCAGAACTAAATACTAATGCAAATTTTCAAAACCTTTCTAAAATGTTTCTCTTGACATGACTGGCAGCATGTTCCATACTAAGAGCATTGGTTGTATGGCTATTGAACATTTCTTTTATCTATTTCACTTTGTTTTAAAACCATGTCTCCTTTATTCTTAAATTAAGAACAAGAGGAACTAGCAGAAATCACCTGCTATTGAGATTGACTCTATTATCCACCACTCACTGCAGCTGTGCCTTGCTTGTGTCTGTACATGCTGTTGCAGACTGAGTCTTCATCATCTCTCAGATTTCTTCTTTTGCTTTCCCCTTAATGATGAAAACTTTATATTTTGACCCTATTGACACAAGGGTGCCTGAAGTCAATGCAATATTAAAACTTTATTAAAGGATAATAGCATTTTTCCACTTTCAGCTCTTTTTCCTATCAACGGCACATATTCAAATTCTAGTTTTCCTAACTAACTTGTGCAAAAGAGCATACCTAAGTCCTTCACGCCAAAATATTCATTCCCTGATTGGAAAAAAATATTCCTTCCTTCCACTATCTCTTCTTGGAAGGGAAAAGGCATTTGTAGGAATGTAGTGACTCCTCCATCTCCTTGTACTTGACAGTTATCTGCTTTATACCAGATTGGATAATTTCCATAGGCACCAAATCACTAAGAGGTTACAGCAGGTAGAAATGTTTTCTGGTAGGAAGTTTATTAAAAATATACCTTAAAGCCCTTACTTTTGTGACTCTAAATTATCTGGTGTCATTAGTCTGGAATAAAATGCACCACCTTCAACACTGATCTGAGCCGTCATCACAAACCCTGTTCCACACGCATGTCAGTGTGACCAGTGCCCTGGTATAAGCTTCTCAAACTCATAATAAAGAAAAGATTGGTTTTATTCATTTTTCTCTCCATTAAAGTAATTTTTTAAATTAACAAGTTTTTCCTTAAAAACAAGGCTAAAAATCAGCACATATTTACAATTAATTTGTTAATACATGCGGAGGTGACATACAGATGCCCCTGAATAAAAGTCATAGAAATACATCAAATGTTTGTCATGTACTGCCAAATTCTGGGGTCTATGAACATTCCTGAATTTTAAAAGGCACAAAATACAAGAGAAGGATGTACAAAGGAAAATGGCAGACACGTTTTAGAAAATAACAGATACAATAACTAAACAAATTTATGAAAGATTACTGAAGAAATAAATGGTGCTCTACTCCCTCACCAAAGATATAACCCTTTGGTAGAAGGAGGCTTTACATTGGGATAAAAAGCTAAAAAGTAGCTTTTGAAACTAAAGAAGTCATCAAGAGAGCATTGCTTTGGGTGTTAGGAGACCTGTCTCCAATCCATTCAATTCTAAAACTTTTTACACAGCCTACCCAGCGAAAGCTAAGCAAGTCACTTAATGCTTCAGTGTCTCAGGAGAATTGAAATAATTATGAGAGCTAAAGGATTGCTAGACTCAGTGTGTTCACCATGTTGACTTTCACCAAAGGATTCCTATCTGCCAGGAAAATAGTGTGTTAGGATGTTTTTGTTTCTCATGTGAAGGCAATTTAAGTGACAAGGGCAAAATTCTGAAGATAGCCAAATGTGACTCTAGATCCTTCTCTCTCTGTTCATGATTGGTTCTCTCTTGGGTAAGTGTCCCTGCTTCTTGCCAAGCATCTGGTGCTCTTGGGTTGCCCCAGCCCTCCCTCTGTTCACAGCAACAAGCCGTCTACCAAAGTTAACATTAAGATATCACTGACTTGATATGTTTCTCTTACCACTGGTACATTCATAAAAAGCTAAGCAGTGTACAAGAATACATTTTTACTGCTTCTGTATTAGGTCTGAGGTCACCTGAATGCGAGTGATTGTGGACTGGAGGCCTTCCCTACCAAACATCAGGCCAGGCTTTTTGAATGGTATTGCTCCTGGCTGCATCTTGCCAAAAGGTGGTATGGTCTGTCAAGGCATTTCTGTCTCCCAGGCCTCCTTCCCCTCTGTCTCCAGGACTGACTTCCTGCCCATGATCATAGAGTCCTTCTACATCCCCCCAAAAATCATTCATAAGAACTCAGAGGAGGAGGTACACTTCTCCACTAAAGCCTGGTTCGTTTTTCTGGTTTCAAAGAAAAATTATTATCACTGAAGATATTTCAGAGATAACCTAACCCCGTGGCTTTTATTCCCTAGATCTCTAGAGAAATGTAGTTATTATCTCAGAGGCCACAAGATTAGGACCTCAACAAAAGGAGCTTCATCTTTATATTGAGGTATAATAAAATATTCATTTAATAAAAAGAGTTCTCTGCTTAAAACAGTGATCTCTTTGAGTATAATAAAACAGATTTCTCTGTATGAATGTGAGTACTAAGTAACAAGTAATTCTACCAAACCTTCATTTAAAGAAAGGAGTTCTCTGCTCAACAACACAACTTAATACTCTCATTGGGTAGGGTAAGAGATCTTTAAGGATGAACAGGAAAATTAAAACAGATAATAACACATGTGAGTTCTATCAAACCTTTAAAAAAGAGACTAGTTTTGCACCATGGTAACAGCATAGAGCCTGGCACCTGGTTTGTACTGAATCTCTATTCTCTTTCTTCTCTTCCAGTCAGTGGTTTTAGTTACCTTGCCATGTTGTTTTAAGTTGTGATCTAAGAGCTTAAACACCCACACCCATTCCAACTTCCCAGGACATTCAAATTTTGAAGAACACAGAAGTGCAGCAGGAACTAAAAACTTCTGTCCTACTCTTTCCATTTCCCCAGGCCCCTGCCTTCAGCCTCAGGCCTATAGCTGCTGTGGCCACACCTTCCGCCAGCCATGCTTGCCTAGGCTCCAGAATAAGAGTGGGACAGCTTAGAAAGATTAAGGTGCCACAGCACACTGAAACAGAATCACTTAGGCTGCCTCAATCCTGGCAAAGGGGAGGGTATTATTTGCAAAGCCCCCTGCTGAGTCTCCCAGGTGCTAGCTAGACAGGCTCAGGAGATAGTTTGGCAGTCACCCTGGAAAAAATGCCTGTGTCTCTGCAAATAAATCTGCCAGTGTAGAAAGCACTGGGTTTTCCCCAGTGCTTGTGCAAATAGTACTCTGTGCTTTGCTGGTATTGGAAATTCCTTGGTATAAGTAGCTCTAGACCACGAAAATTGAAGTTATGGATTTCTTGTCATTGTTGTTACCCTTGACCTGTTGGGAAATAATTCCCCAAATCAATGGTCATACTTCCGATTATTCACAATGGAAAAATCTTCAGTAACCAGAAAAAAAATAAATAAATGTGTTCCCTGAATTCCCCTTCATGGCTCAGCAGCTGACAGTAAGACTGAGCAAGTCTTGAAGTCTGGCACAAAGGAAGGTAGATGTGCATGTGTCCAAGCATAATATGAGCATGGGCATCTGAGTGTAGTTATCTCCCGCTAGAAAATTTCATGAACAACATATAGTTTACCAATGGAGCATTACTGATGTCTTTTCTTCACTTAACATCTGGGGGTTTGTAGAATCAACAGTGTGGTTACATATGTGAAAAATCTCAGTAAAGTGGATACATTTTTAAGCAAAATACAGGTATCAACATTTACTCCAGAAGCAAAAACCTTTAAGAGAATCAAGGCCGTAGAAGAAAATTTTAAAGTTACTCTGAAAACAAAACAAACATCGAATCAAAACTCCTCTCCTCTCCCCAAAGGCACCTGGCCTTCAGAGTTTTATGGGTGAATTCTATCAACTATTCAAAAATAAGTTATATTGTATAAATAGTATACATATTACACATATATACAGAATTTATACACATATGTGCAGTGTTTATATATAACTCAATTTCTTTATAAAGTCCACATGTATTAATGTAAATACAAAACATAATCAAATCCAGTTCAGCAGCATATATAGTAAAAATAATATTACACTACAAATAGGGCTCATTACTTGTACCAAGCTGATTTGAAGAAAGATCTGAACTTGCTTCTAAGTGAAATGCAGGAGAAAGTTTCTTGATAGATTGATTTGCTTTTTCCAATGTCTAATAATGGTGAAAGCAAATATTTCTTTTCTAGGCAGTCAGCTATCTGCTACTGGGCAATCATTATGTGCTACTGTCTTCTAATATTTTTATTTTACTAGGGCCAAAAAGCCTTTGCTCTTTCAGCCATTTTAGTTTGAAAGGTTGCCTAACTCAGAGGCCCTATCTTACTTGAACATATCTTTTTTGGAACTCTGAGTTTTTGGAAAAAGCCAGATTCACCTCGTGCAGCTTTAAGGACTTCCCTCAGTAACTTAAATAAAGAAGAATAAGAAAAACAAATCCAGCAAAGTAATGCCAATTAAAGATAGGCCATTCATTCTACATAAAGGGAATCACGATATTTTTATTTTGTGAAATATTGAATTAAAATTAAAACCTATTTGCTTACATTCTAAAAGGAAAGGATAAGTAGGGTAAGTGTTGAGTTGGGCAGTGCTGACCCCAAGCAATTTGATAAAGCTTATGAGAGTTGCCATTATAGGCAACAGGACTCTTTGGCAGAAATAATATATGAAATGTGTCTCCTTGTTTTTAATATTTTAATTTTTTTTCAGCT